TAACTGCATATCCCTGCTTCTGGGTTTCTAGAAACCTGTGACTGTGTCTGCAGGATGATATGGCCTCTGGCTTGAATCAAAAGAGCATTTCCTATGTTGTAGATGTGGGCAAGTGAGTTTAGCAACTTAACTTTTCCTGTTCCTCTCTCTTCTCAGGAAGTAGCTGTGTGATGAAAAAATAGTAACGTGATGATAGAGATAGAGCGAGATGAGAGAGAGACAGAGACAGAGAGATAGAGACACAGAGAGAAAGAGGGAGAAAGGGAGGGAGGGAGACTGCATTATCATACTTATAATCCCAACTTTGGACATGAGTATGTAAATAACAGCATTTGTGTTGTGATGTCATGGCATACATTTTGTCACTTGTCCCTTTGTTCTCCATATGGGCACATGTCTTTTCTCATTAAGTTTAAAGGGTACCATATGGCATCCTTGGCCTCTTTTTCATCTCAAAAGTAGGATGGCGCTGAATTATTTCTGTTATTCCACAATAGACAGAGAAAGATGAGAGAATTAGATGTTGGTATTGCTGTTTCCAACGGTGGCCTCTGGACTCAGCATTCATATTAATGCACAGACTCCCCCCTCTTGCTAACTAACTTTAGTGTGTTTGTTATTGGCCTTGTATGGATCACAATTACGCCCTAATTAAAAATCAAAACAGATCTGAAAGGTGAACCATATTGTTGTTAGGTTCGTTTTAAATAATAATAGCAAACTAGCGTGATCCAACAGTCTTTCTCATTCAGAACACTTATCTCTAAAGAATCATATTATTCCCATGTGAATAATGAGGGGGGTTGTAGTGTGGAGCTGGGAACATAGCTTATAGCTGGGTCTGCACCTCACATATATATTTCCAGTTTCTCCAGTTTCAATATCTTTGTCTATTCTTTTTACAAACATGCATTTTAAATAGATATTTTTAAATACATTATTTTAATTGTTGGTGAGCCACAAAGCAAAATTCAATAGTCTTGCATAACTAACTAGAAAATAGATGTGAAAATAATCCTAGAACAGAAATGTTTCACAAAATAATTTCTCTTTTCCTTACACAGAGGTTCTAGTCTAACCAATAATAAAGGTGGGCTTTAATAATGACATATTATAGCAATAGCACTTATATACTGTTTCCCAGTGCTTTAAACAGTTTGCAGAGTCAGCATATTGACCCCAACAATCTGAGTCTTCATTTTACCAACCTCGGAAGAATGGAAGGCTGAGTCAACCTTGAATAAGTGAAAATTGAACTGCTGCCAGTCAGCAGAATTAGCCTGCAATACTGCATTTTAACCACTATGCCACCATGGCTCTCAATATGTTAACATTAACATATTAATCAGGGCTAGGTTTCTGCCAACATTACTGCGGGTTCCCTGTGCATGCCATTTTGCGCATGCATGCTCACCTTGCTCATGCACGCAGGTGCAGTTGCCAAAAAAATGTTAAAAGACACAGGACTGGCAACAAGTTAACAATACTAGTAAGCCAAATTATTAAAATAATAATGTAATCTGTTGTTAGTGGCTATATAACATTTTCAATGAAACCTTTAGCATCAACAAATTATTTTTGACCAATTTAGTTTGAAATTACTAACTGACACATTCTGAAGTTCCTTCCTTTTATTCAATATTATTATTTTCCATATCCCATTTATTTTAAAGTATATCTTCTCCTGTATGGCACATGAAAATAATATATTATTGTTAGCTTTTAATTTAAAATGATTTTGTGTAGCCGATGGCCACATCTAGCAGGCAGTGTTAATCAAATGAGACAAGATTTTTGCAAATTGCCAGTAAATGTGCAACGTGAACCTCACAAATGAATTCAGGTGAATTGAAACTGATTTTAAGATATGGAATGTTATACCTGAGGCTTTTCACTGCCAGTACTTATTTTCACAGGGAGCAATATATCAGAGTAGTACAATCTAGTTCTGCAATGGAGGTTCTTCAGAAAAAAGAAAAGAAACTTTCAACTTAAGGGAAACAAACTGTACGGTTACAGTATGAAGATGGGACAGAGAGAGAGAGAACTCTCTATTTCAGCCAAGATGCCAGCTGCAATGAATGTTTAGGCCATCTTACTAAGACTATGTAAGTAAACATACAGTTTTCATTAACTATGCCTTTCCCATAATTGGTACATAAGTATTTCCCATGACTCTGTAGTTGAATAACTTGGCTGGAGGCATATCTGGCCATTAGGAGGAGGGCTTTAAATCTGTTGAGTCCCAGCCATGCTGGGAGACTTGGCACCTCCACATATGGCTTCCTAATACCAACCCCTGTCTAAAATGTCATCAGAAGCTTTCATAAATATTGGATTTAGCTTCACATAAATTACTGCTGTCCTGCAATAGTTTGTGCCAGAATTTAGTGAAAACAACACACTGAGTAAACAGAAGTTAAAGGCACAGGAATTATAATCCTAGTCCAGGGAAAGAAAAAAAAATGTATACCAAGGACGAAGTCATAAATAATGATAAAATGCAAATTCTATCACATGCCACTGAGATTAGTTATTATTTATATCTCTACTTAGCTAATGCCATATGCTAGCTTTAAGTTATAGCAAGTGAAGGGAAGGAAGCATACAAATCAAAGCAAAATCATGGAGTACAGTACTTATAAAAACTATTCTAAAGAATTGAAATTATTCTGCACTTCTTCTCATAGATTATAGACATCTAATATGCTTCCTTGCAAATGTATGTATGTATGTATGTATTGAATGTATATATGTAAATATGTATTTTTCAAGGAAGTGTATTAGATGTATTAGTATATTAGTCTGTTGGAAGGTATACAAAGTAATTTGGGGGCACTCGATAATGTTTATTTGCAATATCTATGAATAACAAAGATACAGGTATTTCTCTAAAAGTGACAACATTTTGGTAAGTTATGGGTAAACCTCACCCTTAAATGGCTGCTAACAGTTATTCTTAGGGAATAGTTTTCTGTGGTGCATTTTATTGATTATGCTTTTATTGGTCAATGACCAAAACAAATTTTCTGTCTATAGATATCAGCAAAAAAACCAACAGTTAAAACTGCACTATAATTCTTATTGCCTGAAAAGTTTCAAAACAGCAGAGTTGGTTAATATTTTAAAATTAAAGTTTCCGAAAGTATTGCAAAGGCCAGATGAATCTTTCCAGGAATACAAAAAAAATCCTTTCCTGGTATTTGCAATGTCTATGTTAAAAAACATATTGTAATATTAATAGTATTCTTTTGCCTGTATTTTTAGCACTGGCTTTGCTAAAGGTGAGAAATATCTTAAATTAACAGGGGGGAAAATGGGGGGGGGGAAGCCTCATCTATAAGTTTATAGAACTGTGCAACATGGGTTAGTTTTCTTCTTGGGCAGAAGGCATATTGCAAGGAGGAGGACAGTCTTTCTTTTAATACCTTTATTACCTTAAAATAGCTCTTTACTCTCTTTAACATCTCTATTCTCTTTAATACATATTTTAATATTTCAAATCTCATTTTACTTGTAAGCCACTCAGAATCACTTATTATGCAGTAAGATGATCAGTGTAGAAATCCAATCAGCCAATCAATAGACTAAATAAGAACATTGTATTAGCAAAGGCATTTACTATTGAACATTTTTCAAACAGGATTGCATTTTTCAATGAATTAATCTGATCCACAAACCAGTTATTTTGTAGTACTTGGGATTTGAGTTGTTTAATGCCACCTTATGGGAGGTATCTAGGACTAAGGAACTATTCCAGCAGCCAATGAGTACTTTTATGGATATAAGCAGTACATCACTGTATTCTTTCATTAAAGCTTGTTTACTTCTCTTCCAATGAACAAGAAGAAACCAGGGGAAACTTAACATCACAATGGTAAAAGTTCCAAATTCAGCAGGAGTGACTTCTTAAAAATTGTACAACTCATGCTATCAAACATGTATTGCCTTTTAATCCAGAATATTCATCTACATTTAAGATCATTTGTATTTTCTTTCATCTTACAGGCTTGGTTGATCGACTAACCCCAAAACTGTAAAAATGAAAAGTCTTGTTATTTTTCCAAGGGATTGACCTGTAGAATCAGTAGGTGAAGCTGCTAATGAAATGTAGCTAAATGTTATCCCTAATTGGTGTAGATCAAAAAGCTTATAAAGAGACAGCTGCAGTGGCCAGTTCAAAAGATAGCAATCCTAAAAGAGACTCCCACATTCCAAAATCTCCGCTACATACTTCTGGCTCTAATATTTCTGTATTTCATAGCTACTTGATATCCTGGGAATATAATTTTCCTAATTCATTTATATGAGTAAAATGGAATTTCCAGGAATTATACACCATTAACCCTACATACATATAATATTACACGAGCATATTTCAATGAATGCTGTAGGTTTTCCCCTTATCCTCTGTCCTCTCATGCTAGCACTTCCCTTAACTCCCCTTTGCTGCTTTGAAGGATTTACGATCCCTCCAGAATAGATTACAAAGAGGTATTGGAGGTTTAGAAGGAAGGGTGTTGATGGATACTTTTTTGGCACAATGCAATACAATACAACTGCCGTGTAAAAGTAGATTTCCTTTATCATGCACTTCATGAAAGTTGGTTGTGTGCATTAGAAATACTTTTTACTTGATTGCTAACTTCATTTTAGTTGAAAATTACTGGAAAGCAGAAAATGGAATGTAAACATTACAAGGAGATATCTTTAGAGCAGGTAAACATTATAGTTTTAAACAGTGATAGTAATCAAGTACAAAATTGTAATAAATAATTGTAAGGGCAAGAGACCCACTGCTGCTATTTATTTTGAATAATATCAGTAACTCTCCAGAAGAAAAAAAGGAAGGGATGGCACATATTTAGTTGAAAGAATATTAGGAAGTTCAAGAAAAGTAGGAAGGGGGGATTCCATTGTAGTTTTAACACCCAGCTGTCCATCAGTAAGGAAATGAAAGACATCATTTAAAATATCACTTATAAACATACTAGCCACACTTAAGAATGTATGTAGATCACAAAATACACACCTCGTTCCTCAACCGCTTTTATGCACATTTTAACGAAGCGAGGGACAGTAGAGCCATCATGTTCACACACATTGTGTAGGTAAGCACCAAAAATCTGATCTAGAAAACACAAAACAAGAGAGTGGTTGATTAGACGAAACCACACTTTAAATAAGCCCCCTGAAATGTGATACAAAGCGAATAGGAAATTGTAAAGGTTTTGTCATCCACTTACCTAGTTTTGTAAGCAAAGTTCACTTGTCAAATATAATATCAAAGAAACTCAGAGGATTCCATTCCAAGTTTTGCCTTACATTTATTAATATTGTATGTATTTAGTTTTTACTAGATATACGGCATACATAACAATGATTCTTACACAAATTGTGTGACTATATCCCTGAAAAACAGTGAGATAAATTTGATGTATGACCAATTTGCAAATCATTTCTTTCCTTGGGACTGAGGCCATGAGCTATGACTTCTGATTTATTTTATTTGGCACACTGAGTTAAGGATATCAACAGCTAGTTCTGAGTGGTGCGGATATCAGGAGCTGTACTATAGAACAAATAAGCAGAGATACTCTTTTCTGTGCAAGCCCCAACTATAATCATCTGCATGTCAGGTTGTTATGTAAGGTGAAAATGCTACTTCCTCCACTCTCATTCAACATGTGGGAGTAAAATATACTCTGTAGTTCAATGTTATTCCTATAGAAAATCAATAGGAAAGGCTTAGCCCAGATCTGTCTCCCCCCAAAATGTTTTAAGAATAGCTGAGGGTCACAGCTGCATATCCTGAGATGATTACTTGCTGCCTAAAGTTGCTGTTTTCTTGTGATCTTAAAGGGCCAATGGTTTGTTCAGAAAAGATGGCCTAGAAGGTTGCATTGACATAGAAATAAATAAATGTATAGAGCATTGCAATACAATCCAGAGAATATCATCCTTGTGTGAAAAAGCCTGTTGGATGGGGAATCTGAGTTTAGAAAATGTTAACTGTCCCATAAGTGAAAGACCCTATTTGGTTGTATCATCAGTCTAGAAGACTGTTTAGACTTGACATTTGCAGCTGTATTTCAAATTCAAAATTCAATTTGTGTTTTTTAAGTGCTTGAAAACTAAGTTTTGAAGGACAGTACATATATTTTAAAATTAAAACCAACTGGCCCATGTACACTTCAAATGTTTAATAGGACAGGGTTTGGACTTCAAACAAGAATAAACTTGAAGAATAAGCACAAATAGCTTCATATATTCATTACAGCAACCTGTCTTTTTCAGACTTTAACACAAGGCTGATAACAAGATGTGACTGTTTCAAAAGTCTCAATAATTTGACTGCTTAAAAGAATAACATCCTTTTTCCCGAGCTTGTTCAGAAGCCTGAAAAATAACAGGCTTGTTTAATTAAGAACAGAGAAGTTTGCTGGAGGTCTGAAGCTTTTCTTCTGAATAGTTTTCACAAAGTGCTTAGTGACATTAAACAATATAATCTACAGTATGAAGGTAGGGGGTGGAAGATATCTCAATATCCTCTCTTCAGATAGGACAAGCCAGTTTAGCCTAGCAGCTTAGGCACCAGGTTAGAAACCAGGAGATGGTGAGTTCTAGTCTCACCTAAGGCATGAAAACCAAGTGGGCTAGTCACTCTCTCCCAGCTCACAGAATAGTTGTTGTGTGGAAAATAGGAAGTCTAATAGGTCTGCTCACCTCAAGTTATTTATAACAAGTGAGATATACATAAATAAAATGACCCATTGTTTAAAAAATAACACTTTGTCTTGCATTTATATTTCATATCGAAACATATTGTGTATATATATATATATTGTATACAGCAGCAGTAGATGACTGGATGGACTATAAGCCATGAATAGAAAGAAAAGATCCAGAGAGGTCCAAGACATAAAGTAGCATTGTTATCATACAGTAATTGTTAATGGTACTAAAGTCTGTTCAGGTAAATAATTTAATAACAGTATTATGTTATGCCTCTCTATTACATCATCATTACAGTACCCATACAGTACAGTACCATCATCCAATAGTAAAAAAAAAAAGTTGTTATTGCATTAACTCCAACCTTTTGTACAAAGTTGACATTTTTCCCTTGGCATACGTTTAATTATTATTTTTAGGAGATTCATTATTTTGCTAAGAATAAGTCACCCTGACCCTTGACAATGCTTGTAAATTGTACAGTTTACAAAATGATTTTTATTATTATTATTATTGTGCTTCATAACTTTAAAACCTCTGGCTGGCTGAGAGTGTACATCACGAAGTATGTCAGGATAACTAGATTAGTGCTCTGAGATTACAAATTAGCTTCATCTTCCTTCATCTCTGCTACATATTTTTGACAAATTATGAAGAGAGTGCTCCTTAATGGGAACTTTGTCAGCAGAATCAAAATGAATCAAACCTGTGAGAGAAACCATTCAATAGAAGCGGTTTAAAATGTTTAAACAATGTGGCTATAAAATCATCATTTAAGCCCAGAGATAGTCTCTGCATACCTTTCCAGCAGAGCATGACACTTGGAAAATTAGTGTAGAGGCCTTTGACAGCACTCTATAATCAATGTTTCTTAGCAAAGCCTAAAATAATCCTAGGAGAGCATGCATAACTAATAGTAACCTGCACAATATTAAACACTATGATATCCTTAGATTTCTGCCTCTTCTAGGGTGTTCAAGTAAAAAAAACAAAAAAAAACCACCTCTCTCTTTTTGTTTCAAAGACCTCACATTTCATTGCATATTTTGTGCAATTTTCTTTGCAAAGAAATTGTATGAATTAGTTCAAAGAGCAATCATTTTAAAACTTCTATTGAGATCAATTATCTTTACAGCCCGTAAACATAAACTTTCCTGGATAAACAAACATATTTTCTTAATTTACCATGACAATATGAAGAGGATAGCCTAGTGCAGGCATTTAGCTGTACACACATAGACATTCATTGTTTAAGTACCTGGTTGCTGGGAAAAAGCTATTTAAAAGTTTTCAACAAAGAATTGAAAAAAATGATCTCAAAATTTATTAGCTCTTCCAACTGTGGATAAAGTTGAAAAATTTGTCTGAAGATTCCACCAGAAATTTCTACTAAAAAAGCTTTCTGTGAGAAAGCTTTTTTTCCAGGTCCCATGTGCTCAAAATTCACTGGAAGTAGAACAATGGTTTGCCCAAGTTTTTCATCATGCACACTTGCAATCAAATACTTGATACCATCCTCAATGAAGCTAACATTTTGGTGAAAATTTTCCATTCTGTGGATCAGATTCTCAGAAAATGTAATTCATTATTGAACTGGAGTGGAAATGCCCACCATACATTTGTTGGGCCAGCCTTAAAAGCGGAACCATTTTGAGAGACATTGCATTGTTACTAGTTTTCATTGAGTGTGCAAAGATTGATTTACAAAATGGAAGCTGCAGAAATTCATGTTTTCTTTTTTTCAGTATTTTTCCCCCTTCAAATGTTTCCGATAGTAAAGAAATTTCCCTGACTAGTTTAATGGTAATGAGTTTTCACTTGGCTTCTCCCTTCCATAAAAGAGAGGACTGATAATTCAGTCCAAAATGAATTCCAATATCTAACACAGAATTATAATTTCCTTAGACTTGGAATTATGCATATTTTACTCTCAGTCTGTGCCCATGGATTGAATCCTTTATAGTTATGATGTCATTGTTTAGTAGCAATCCAAGTGTGTGTGTTTATTGGCCCCTCTGTTGCAGCTTTGAGGAATACAAAAATACAATTTTGGTTTAGGTAAAGGTAAAGGTTCCCCTCGCACATATGTGCTAGTCATTCCCAACTCTAGGGGGTGGTGCTCATCTTTGTTTCAAAGCCGAAGAGCCAACGCTGTACCAAAGACATTCTGTGTGGTCATGTGGCCTGCATGACTAAACGCTGAAGGTGCACAGAACACTATTACCTTCCCACCAAAGTGGTCCCTATTTTTCTACTTGCATTTTTATGTGTTCTCGAACTGCTAGGTTGGCAGAAGTTGGGACAAGTAACAGGAGCTCACTCCATTACACGGTGCTAGGGATTCAAACTACTGAACTGCTTACCCTCTGATCAACAAGATTAGATTTAGATTTAGATTTATTTTATTTGTATGCCGCCCTTTTCCGGGAGGGACTCAGGGCGGCGAACAACTCAAGTGGGGAAAGGGAACATAGAACACAATACAAGTGATTAAAATAACCAAGAATCACACAGCCACACAGGTCGAAAGGGGAGGCGAACTCATCAACCCCAGGCCTGCCGGCACAGCCAGGTTTTGATGGCTTTCCGGAAGGCCTGGAGAGAGGTGAGGGTCCGAATCTCTGCGGGGAGTTCGTTCCAAAGGGCCGGAGCTGCCACAGAGAAGGCCCTCCCCCGGGTGGTAGCCAGATGGCATTGGCTGGTGGACGGAACTCAGAGGAGGCCGACCCTGTGTGATCTAATGGGTCTTTGGGAGGTAATTGGCAGCAGGCGGTCTCTCAAGTACCCAGGTCCAATACCATGAAGGGCTTTATAAGTTACGACTAGCATTTTGAAGCGTATCCGGAGACCGATCGGTAACCAGTGCAGCTCGCGGAGGATAGGTGTAACATGGGTGTACCGAGGTGCACCCACAATCGCTCGCGCGGCTGCATTCTGGACGAGTTGAAGTCTCTGAATATTCTTCAAGGGCTGCCCCATGTAGAGCACATTGCAGTAGTCCAGTCTTGAGGTCATGAGGGCATGAGTGACTGTTGCGAGTGCCTCCCGGTTCAGGTAGGGACGCAACTGGTACACCAGGCGAACCTGGGCAAATGCCCCCCTGGTCACAGCTGACAAACAAGCTCAGTCTTAGCCACTGAGCCAAAATTGGGTTAGTTGAGTAATCTGTGCCACTTTTACCTTTGGGGGTTGGAGCCAGCTTCCAGAATCCAGCATATTAAAGACTCTTGAAATTTTGATTAAGAGAATGTATATCATCATGCCTGGATATGTGTATTGGAAATATCTATGTTGTTCTTTAAAAAAATCCTCTTTTGCCATATCTAAGTAGTTTAAGTCTTGCTGGGATAAAGAAACATACAGAATATCTTTCCCAGTATAACAATAACTGCTCTC